TACACCTCCGAAGAAATGTCAAGCTGAACACGTTTTACAAATCGCAATCCGCGCCTCCTTTCTCTGATATTTTTAAATATCTCCAAGCGGCAGACATGTTGGCTGTGAGCCAGCCGCGAGCATGGTCGCGCGCCTTGCTTGTCGCCGCGTTTTAATTACGTCATCACAACAACACGTTAGGTTACCAAATGTATAGGTGCATTTGTTGTTGTTGAAGGCCTGGCTGTTACAGTCTTTATTTACACTATTTTGTTGTAGGCCTACTGGCCTAGATGTTTATGCAGTTTTAAAGCACCTTGGCTTTGTTCTGAATGCACTTTGTTGTAGTTATCCTACAGAGAAAAGAAAATGCACTTGACTTGGAATTAATGTACTGTATGTAGGCTACTGTATATTCAAAAGTGCTGAATAAATGTTTTATGGACCCATAATAGTGACTATTATTTAAGTTAAGTTTTGCCATAATCATGTATTTTTCCATAATCAGCTAGCTGAACAACATTGGTAAAAATGTATACATTATATATATATATATATATATATATATATATATTCTATTAATCATTTTCGGCCTTTCGGCATTCGGTTTTCGGCCAACTGTTTCCTATTTTCGGTATCGGTTTCGGCCAAGAATGTCCCATTCGGTGCACCCCTAGTTCCCATACAGTTTGGAGAATCAGACTGGAGTAACAACGAAGTGAAACAATGTAGTTCTGTGGATGCGAAACGTATTAGTACCTAAAAAATAAAGCTTATATTAGTTTTATCAGCCACTTCCAGAAGGAAACTGAAGCCGCTGTTAGATTAGTATGCATCTATCAAATAATTTGTGTTATTGTGTGACTTTGGTGAATCTGAACTAAACCTTTAAAAAAACAAAATCACAATAACATAAACAACAACCTGATTAAAGGGGCAGAGACCGGCAACCTGTGCTGTGCTCAATAAAATAACGATTAATGTCAATGCAGTCATATAGAAAAGGTCTTAGCTTTGTCTTTGAAGAAAGCATAGATAACGGCTTTAGTTATTGATGGAAATAAGGGCCGTCTGACGGCAAGGTTAAAAGTGAGAAAACTCTAAACATAGCATACAATTTAACTAATATTGATTTTGTTGGGGAGGCCTTTCTTTTTAATGGCTAAAATACGTTTTCCTGCTGCCCCGCTTCCACAGCAGTACATTATGTTTGCTCTAATTGCCCTCAACATTTTTCATTGTTTTCAGCTATTTTCTGCAACAAAAACCTCTACATGCCCAGCACGAAATGGCAGACTGATACAGAAGGGTTTTGGGGCCATTGGGAGTTTGAGTCCCTAGGGAAGTTGCCTGCCTGGCCCTGTTATCAATCCAGCCCTTCTTGCACCTGTGACCTAAACACACGCTAGCGCCATGGGTCAAAGGCGACGCACATGTGTACCGATGGGCAGCCACACATGCGTAGCCACCCACAGTCTGACAGACAGATAGGGAAACACTTAACCGGCGTCTCACCACACACACACACACACACACACACACACACACACACACACACACACAGACAAACAGACATAATATAGATGCACGGAGCAAACACGTCAAATATTGATTCTAGGCTGACATTTTTGCATAAAAGTGTTATTTTTGCAATTTAAAATACAAAATATGATTGTTTTGCATGCTGTTGTGTTTGTAATGCCACACTGCAGTGCCACATATTTCACTGAATCGGAAATGATTATGAAACCTGGGACCAACTGGAGTTTACAAAATCGTGCATCAGAAAGCCTTTATCTCTGCAACACTGCCATCTGTAGACCATCAATAATGCCTCTGATGTCTCAAGACACTCCCTCATTTTCTTTGCTTAAGTGCACATTGTCAGGTTTGGTCTTGCATAACAAAAGAAATGCACAAGTGATTTGTTTGAAACAGAAAAGCAGAGTGTCTGGCCCACAGGTAATTTTCTGTGTTTACTTTATTATTTTAAATGCATGGCTTCCTTCCACAGGCCAACCATATGTAGGCCAGGTGAACTACGTGACCTCTGAATTGCCTGCCAAGAGTGGATTTCTCTGAGTTGTGTTTTAGCTAGACACTGCACAGAAATAAGCAGCGATGCGATAAATTGATGATCATACAGAACCCACATCTGATTTATACAACCCATATTTAGAAAAACATTAAGAAATGCTGTGAGCTACCAAAACAAACAATACTAAATGGTAATTTATACCAATTTTACTTCACTTACTAACCATCACATGTGTCTCTGAGTTAGTGTTTACTTTTTTTCCAAACCTTGAATAAAAAATGCAAGCAAACTTATTGGACACACACATAACTGCATGGGTCTTTGGGCAAACCTAAAGTCTTTTAGACAAACAAGTAACATCATGCCATCTAGTGACACATCTGGGAGCTGCACAGGCCAAGGACATATAAAAACTACAGTCATACATTATTACAGTTTTACAGTAGACTTTAGGGGTGTTTAATATGTACAGCTGTAAGCCCTCCATTCACATAGACACAATTTGATGTAAAATCAAAAAGAAAAACATACCAACAAACAAACAAATTATTCCCTATGCTATCAGTAAAACAAATTCTCCAAGTACTATTATTTGACAGATTATATCATTACAATGACATAATAATAATAATAATAATAATAATAATAATAATAATAATCCATTAAGGTTCTGTATTCCCTGTGTAATGTGCATGCTGAAGCACATATCAGACTAGTTTTGGAGTTAATTTCTAAATAGTTTGTTATTTTGTCAGATAAAATGTTGTGCATTTCAAAGACATACTTTGATCTAAGTAGAAACAAGTCTCATTCGAATATTTACCGTATTGAATAGCTTTTAAAACGAGCGCTAACTGTATTTGTAAACCAGAGTTAAATAACTGTGTGAGAGGGGGCGTGGCACAGCAACCTCGTTACGTCATATCCCTGCGTCGCATCCACCTTCTGACATTTTCAATGACAGTTTGCCCACATTTTGTTACATTTCTTTGATATCAAAGGTGGTCAAATCATAAGGTGACCGCTATGCACAGAGCTGCACATACAGCTGTATATTCCTGTTCTAATATCGTCGGTCCAGCCATGATTCGCCAGTGTTTAAAATGCAGAGGTAAGGAGAGCTACAGCTAGGAGCTAAAGTGCTACACATGCTAAAAACACTTGGGTCGTCTGGCCAGGGTGTGTATGTTGCTACAACGTTAGCTATGTTATGTATTGTTTCATAACTGAACATATTGTGTTGTTACTGTATCATGCTTTCAGTCACAAGTCACATGGTAGCAGAATAGTTAGTGGACATAATGCAAACAGTGCAAACGGACTTGTTAACAGTTAGCCACTCTTTAAAATTAAGTCTGTTGCTTTACAACGGGGGGAGGGCTATAGTACATTTCCTTCAATACAACTTTCAAAAAATACTCTTAAGTCTTTTTGTGAAAAGCATCAAGGCTTCGATCTGAACATATTGTACAGTTTTCTGTTAACAAATGAGCTCTCAGTAAAACGTAATTTTTGCCTCAAAGTCCAAGAGCGAAACATAATTCCCTTATGGTTTCGATGTCTGTCTTTCTGTAGCCTAAATGTATATTTGTAATTGTGTTGTAACCATAGACTGTAATGTTTTATGAAGTGCCCCAGCAGCTGAGCTCACGTGCGTACAGTGTGGTCCCAACCCCACGCAACAGTGAGGAGAAGGAGATGCTGCACCGGATCCTGCGCGTGGATCACGCGGGTGAATACGGGGCCAACCGCATCTACGCCGGCCAGATGGCAGTGTTGGGTCGGTCAAGTTTAGGACCTCTCATCCAGGTATGGATAAGACTGAAATAGGACTAAATCTGCACAATGGATCAATAAGCATCACTGTTTTATATCTGAAATGTATGCATTACCCAGAAGGCATTTGAGGAACTCAAAACAAAATTGAGATGCTTAATACTAAAGAAGCCCTGATGGAAAATACTGTTTTTATTTTTTATTTAAAGTTTAGATCTGACACTGAACTCTATTTAGGTGAGCTTGGTAAGCTTTATTAAGTGTATATTCAGTTCTAGTTTAGTGATAAAGACAATAGAAAAAATAAGCTATAGAGAAACTGTAAACATTTTTTGTATTTATCAAATGTTATGTGTTTAGGACAAGAGCTTTTGCATCATTGTTGACTCCCTATGTTCATGTTTGTCTTAAGGAAATGTGGGATCAAGAAAAGGTACATCTTGCAAAATTCACTGAGATTCTGGCAGAGAGCAGAGTCCGCCCCACAGCGCTGTTACCCTTCTGGAACGTCGCTGGCTTTGTATTAGGTGAGTACAGCTTTTAAGCATAAAGCAGAGTGTTGCAAGAGGAGAAAGCAAACATGTCATTGTCCACATACATATTTGAACTTGATATTGACTGCGTAGACCATAAACACGTTCTTGCAAGTTTCTGAGCTTGAACCCTATTTAACAAGTTAGTCTGCTCTAGTTTTATAGGCCATTTGTAGTCAGCTGTAAAATCCTAAATGTTTAGTTCTTCTGTTTTTAAATCTGCTCAGGTGCGTCCAGTGCACTGCTGGGAAAAGAGGGCGCCATGGCCTGCACTGTGGCAGTAGAGGAGAGTATTTCAGAGCACTACAACAGCCAGATAAGAGCTCTGATGGAGGAGGACCCCGACAGATACACTGAACTGTTACAAGTGAGTCAGCCACTGTTGTACTGTATTACTTATAGTACATGCTAATGCCTTTTTGTGGTGATAAACGATACAAGCAATGTAAAACATTTTTTTACATATGGTATGGTATAACACATAAACAAACATGCATTTGAACAAGCGTATGTATGTATGAATGTACATACATACATACATACATTTTACGGGCGGCATGGTAAATAAATATATATACAGTGGGGCAAAAAAGTATTTAGTCAGCCACCAATTGTGCAAGTTCTCCCACTTAAAAAGATGAAAGAGGCCTGTAATTTTCATCCTAGGTATACCTCAACTATGAGAGACAAAATGAGAAAAAAAAAAATCCAGAAAATCAAATTGTCTGATTTTTAAAGAATTTATTTGCAAATTATGGTGGAAAATAAGTATTTGGTCAATAACAAAAGTTCATCTCAATACTTTGTTATATACCCTTTGTTGGCAATGACAGAGGTCAAACGTTTTCTGTAAGTCTTCACAAGGTTTTCACATACTGTTGCTGGTATTTTGGCCCATTCCTCCATGCAGATCTCCTCTAGAGCAGTGATGTTTTGGGGCTGTCGCTGGGCAACACAGACTTTCAACTCCCTCCAAAGATTTTCTTTGGGGTTGAGATCTGGAGACTGGCTAAGCCACTCCAGGACCTTGAAATGCTTCTTAAGAAGCCACTCCTTCGTTGCCCGGGCGGTGTGTTTGGGATCATTGTCATGCTGAAAGACCCAGCCACGTTTCATCTTCAATGTCCTTGCTGATGGAAGGAGGTTGTCACTCAAAATCTCACGATACATGGTCCCATTCATTCTTTCCTTTACACGGATCAGTCGTCCTGGTCCCTTTGCAGAAAAACAGCCCCAAAGCATGATGTTTCCACCCCCATGTTTCACAGTAGGTATGGTTTTCTGCAAAGGGACCAGGACGACTGATCCGTGTAAAGGAAAGAATGAANTTACACTCTGCAGCAGTGCATGGGTCACAGCAGATAGAAAATTAGGCCTCTTTTTGTCCATCTTTCCAACTCACTGGTTTGGTCAGGTCTGCAATTAGTTTTGAAAGGTGATGACAGATAATGGACTTTTCTTTCGTTGAAGATATTTTTTCTTTAATCTAAATTACATTTGTGATTGACTATCTTTGTTGTGATACTTTTATCATGATAAACATTTATGTCATCAACATTTGGTTGAAAACAAAATAGGCCACCACAAACGTGACCAAAAAATGAAAAATAAAATTGATCTGCCATGAAGGCTTAAAATGGTGTATTATTTCAGTTAACAAACTTTGCCATCTTATTTATATTTAAAGATATTTTTAAATAAATTGTACAGTACATTTTACTCTGGTAATCCACTGGAAATCCACCCCTCTGGTGGGATCAAGATAATCCAGTTCTTTGGGATCAAACTGATCACAATCCTGTGTTGTCGGTTTGAACTACCCGTTTTGAAGATTTGATCCAGATTAAAGCTTCGATTTGATTTTCTGATCTGACCGGATATCAAAGTGATCCTAATCCTGTTTTTTGGTTTTGAACTACCCAAAATCTAAATCTGATCCGATCAGATATGGATTAAAAGTTTTGAACTACTGGGCCTGGGGACCATGAACAAAAGTACATGGTAATCTATTTAATGTTCAATAGAGATTGGCTGATTCATCGATGATGATCTATTGCCAAGGCCTTTGCAATGACAAGATCTCAACAGTATTGAACACCGTGGAAGTTTTTTAATCAACGTGCTGGACGGTAAGAAATTAGATTGTTGGAAAATATAATCCAAACTTTTTTGGACCCTCGCCCACACAAGACTTTCGGTCTGAACTCAGTGCAAACAGAAAAGCAAGGCAGCTCGAACTAAACAACTGGCAGTGTAACCGCAAAGCTGAAAGTGAAGCAGAGGGAACTGTAAACAAAGTTCTATGTCTATCATGAAAACCACCAATGAGGTTAAAGGTTATGGAAGAATGGTGAAATAATTGGGATTAGGGTTCAGGACTTGATTAGTACATTGTATTGCAGCTCGTGATGGCCTGACCCGTTGATAGAGTATGCTGGCTTTCCCATTCAAATGTTAAGCATCTGCCTTCATAGGATGACGTTTTCAATTCAACCACCCTCACTGCCTGATAGAGCCAAGACAATACACTATCAAATGATTTCTTTAAATCTCATCAGCCTGCCATAAATCCCTTATCATGTCGCCAGTGGATGAAAAGGCCAAATTATGGATAAAAAGTATTTTGGTGCTTACCCAATGTACAGTGAGGACAAACTGATATTGACTAAGAGGGGAATGAACAATTTTCTCAACCTGATAAAAGGCCTAATAGATTAGGGGCCCCTTGACAAGCCCCCTGTCAATCCCTCTTTCTCAGTGACATAATGTACCCACAACAGCTGTGTGAGGAGGCTTAGCCTAGGATGGCAAGTCATTGCTCGGCTTGATATATGAACTATTACATGTGAAACAGGAGAATATGTTGAAGGGTGTGATGGCTGTGTATGCTCGTAACAATACGTCCTTATTACATGTATTCTAGGTATTTATCTCTTGGTGTACAGCAAGCATGAGGTCTTTTGTCCATTGCTGCACAATAATCTAACATCTTACATGACATCAGCGTCATTTTGATGCATACATTTGTACACAGGCAGGATAAGCACAACATGGAATTTTAAAGCAGTGTCCTTTCATTTAAATTTGAAAAAGCAACACTTCAAAAGCCATTTTATGGCATTTTATAGAACCAACAATTAATCGATAAATCTAGAAAATAAATGACTGATGAATCAATAAAGATTAATTTTGCCCATAATCGTACAAGACATAATTTACATAAATTATTTTTAACCTAATTACTTTATACTTTAATGACAACTGACTTAAAGCAGTCCAGTGCACACCTGCGCGTATTTTATTTGTATAGATAAAACAAAAAAATTATTTGGCTATTTACTACAATAAACATATTAAACTATGCCAATTCTGGTATGTTCACAATCAAACCATATGAAGAGTAGATTTGTGGCTATGGGGGTGCTTGTTATCCCTGTATTTAAATGAATGTTTTTTATTGTATATACACGTGTTCTCTATCTCCCCCATTGCATTTGTGGGAAAATCTATGCTTAAGAAACAGACACAATTATTACAAATGGTGTTCTTTATTGGATATTGTATTGTTTTGTAAAAGCAGCAAAACAATTACCACTTCTTTAAAGACATGAGCTTTGTCTCTTTTTGTCTTTCTCTCTTGCACACATTTACAATCCCACACCCACAAAATTATGTTATGAGTCTCTTTTCTACTTATGAAAGTAACACCAGCGATTGTACCAACCAATGACAATTTGGTCTGAATGCAGCTTATTAACCAACACACTTAATTAAACTGTCCATGTCTTATACATTGTAGACATGATTTGACATTATGATTTATCTAGGTTGCTTTGAATGTTTGTATCTTGCAAAGTAGAACAATCAAATTCAAACCATTTATATATACTGGGTCAACATATCAAATATTGTCCAAAGAAAGTCCATTATTCCAATCACAATGTTAGATTCGCTGAGAAGCATATATTGCAGCTTTGCAGCCAAGCTGAATTGCATTTTTAAATATCCAGTATCCAGGAACCTAAAACAAAAAAACAGATAAAAGAATATAAGACTTGAAAAGATGTTCACTAAACTACTGCAAAAACAGCTGAATACATAAAGAAATGACTACTGATTGTGTGTTTTGTACTTTGACTCTAATGTAATCAAAGTGTGAGTGATTGTGGAGTGAAGGAAATTAAAATATACTTACCGATTCAGCATCATGCTCCAATCCTGTGTCATGATGCTCAATCTCATCATCTCGGAATTCCTTTATTACCTATACAAATATGAACGAGCATTCATTAAGTGAACTCATCGATCTTTGTTTCTTTTAATTTTTTTAATCATCGTATGGTTCACATCTGTATGTACAGTGGGGCAAAAAAGCCACCAATTGTGCAAGTTCTCCCACTTAAAAAGATGAGAGAGGCCTGTGAATTTCATCCTAGGTATACCTCAACTATGATAGACAAAATGAGAAAAAAAACAATCCAGAAAATCACATTGTCTGATTTTTAAAGAGTTTATTTGCAAATTATGGTGGAACATAAGTATTTGGTCAATAACAAACAAACAAGTTTTCTGGCTCTCACAGACCTGTAACTTCTTCTTTAAGAGCCTCCTCTGTCCTCCACTTGTTAACTGTATTAATGGCACCTGTTTGAACTCGTTATCAGTATAAAAGACACCTGTCCACAACCTCAAACAGTCACACTCCAAACTCCACTATGGCCAAGACCAAAGAGCTGTCAAAGGACACCAGAAACAAAATTGTAGACCTGCACCAGGCTGGGAAGACTGAATCTGCAACAGGTAAGCAGCTTGGTGTGAAGAAATCAACTGTGGGAGCAATTATTAGAAAATGGAAGACATACAAGACCACTGATAATCTCCCTTGATCTGGGGCTCCACGCAAGATCTCACCCCGTGGGGTCAAAATGATCACAAGAACGGTGAGCAAAAATCCCAGAACCACACGGGGGGACCTAGTCAATGACCTGCAGAGAGCTGGGACCAAAGTAACAAAGGCTACCATCAGTAACACAC